AAAAAAAAAAAAAAAAAAAAAAAAATATAAAGGAAAAAGGGGTTGGCGTCCATTATTGAAAGCTGAGGTCTCGATCGAATTTGAAATTCCGACGCGCTCCAGCGCGGAGAATGCGACGGCGGGCCAAGTAATTGAATCCAGTCCGCTATTTTTACGAACAACGAGCGTCTGTTAACGCGAACGATGCGGGGAATTCTCCGTGAAAATACGATGGCATTCGAACAGAGAGCAGGAAAGTGGAACGCGAAAAATTTTCGTCGTTCCCACCGTGCACCGTTTCCGTTAGTATAGCTCAATAACTGCTTGAAATATGCGTCAAATTAATTTTTGTAACGCGTAGTATTACCGCGAGCCGAGGTAACATCGAGAAATAAATTCAAGTGTGTTGGTTCGATGAAAGAAGCAGATTTAGGGCGACATCTAGTTCAACGCGTTGTAACCCGAATTGACGTTTGTCGGTTTTAGGTTACCTTGGGTTAACTGTTTATTTGACTGGTAAAGCGAGCCGTCTGTTCCCGTGGATTAAACGATTATACGTATTTTTAGACGGAAAGAGAAGTCGACTTTGAGTCGCGTGAGAAAGTTTTCAGGTTAAATATCGTGATATAGATACGTAACGCTATTTTTACTCTTCGTAAATGCACGATGTTAACAGTGACGTGTCGAAACGTTAACTGTTCGGCAGAATTTTATAAATGCTTGCTGTATGATGTTGCCCACAAGTGATTGGCGAGGGTGACACGTAAAAGTGATAGAGTAGAACATATGTGCGAGTGAGACAGCACAATCAGAAGTGTGGAACGAAGGTCGCTTGCTTTTCGTGGAAAATTACGAGCGGTATTAATAATAACTGAAACGAAGGCCTGTTTCAAGAGTTAAAAGTCGGAATCTACGAGAGGCTGTCGCTATAATTGCAGATTCAGTGCATGTAAAGTTAAGCTCGCCGTTCTTGAAAATGAATTGTACACATAACCTCACATATTTGATACATACACTTGTACGTGTTTTTGCATGAAATCTCAGTTTTGATGTTATTGATAACAGACATCGGAATCTAAACTGAAATTCTGAAACTTTTGGCGGAAATACATATTGCAAACTCTTTTTTATAAAACAAAGATATTTAATTTATATTAAAATAAAACATGGAATTTTTTGAATTTTAGATGCAGAATATTACTAAAAACCACTCGTCTAAATGCGAATGAAGAATACAATTTGATATATACCGAAAGACGTCAAGTGACTTCAATGAAGAGTCATCTGTTATGCTTGCTGGGTGACTTCTAAGAATGCACATGGAAATTCGAATGATGGAAGACGTGTGATTGTATAATAGAGGCGTAAAAGGACAAAGTATAGTGATTACAAAGAAATGTCAACAGCTAACAGAGGATTACAAAATAAAAGGTAACAAACATTTTGATTGTCCAAAACATAACCTCTAATGTGAATAACAATGTGCAAACATTGACGCAATTGATTTGATAATTAAGTAAAAATCAAACACCTATCTAACATTTAATTCTAATTTTAATATTACATCATCAACTTCTACTTTAGTATTCCTATTTCAGAGAATAAAATTATCCTAACCCTTCTAGGAGCTCTCATGTCACATAAATATGAGTGATGCGACGGTAAAAATATCAGAAGAAGTACAACCATATAATATAACCACATTCTCCTTGCCCAAGCTTCCTACAGATGCCCCATTTATCTGGAACAACCTCGTAAGAATTTCTATGCCCCGGTAATTCTTTCTCTCGTCGCAAGTCGAACATCCCGAGCTCGTAATTCTCCGCCTTGCCCTTATCGATTCCTCTATCCTCCAGGAATGCACTGGCTCGACAATCTCGGCGAGAAATCGGCCGCTGCAGCAGCGCTCCGAACGGCGCGGCGGCGAAATTCCGAAACGTCGCGAGGAAACGTCTAAAGAGGAACGGGCGCGTGTCGCGGCATGCAGAACGCGCGTAAAGA